TCCTGGGAGCAGGCTCATCGTACCAGACATCTTCCCTCACTGAAAAAGTAGGAGAGTCTTTTCTGGAACATTCATTTATTCTGCATGTGGACTTGCTTTCCCCCCCATGTTTCTGGCAGCCACAGAGTAAGCTGTGGACTCAGTGTCCTTTTCATTTTGATGCGTGCCACCCCACACTCTTTCTAACCAAGAGCCTTCTTTTATAGCAAAAGAAATCCAAGACTGTTAATAGGGTGATGCTTTTTGAAGTCTCTGATCTTACCATGCCCCCCCTCCCCCCACCCCTCTGCCTCCATTGCCCTGAGGCAGCTGGCCTTAAATTGTGTTGCAAAAGCTTTGGGAGAGTTCAGAAAGAGAACTAGGTGGGAACAGTGAGCATTCTGTGTGGTTGATGCACTGCCCAGGAAGATGTAGTTTCTTCCATGAACCGGTAACCAACACAGGCTTCCCCAGCTGAGCCAGAATCTAAAGGTTCAGGGACCAAGGAAATGAGAGTGGTGTTTCTTATGATTGGGCCTTTTGCCAGCTCCTTGCAACTCAATTTGTGGCTCATGGACCAGGACCACTGGAATCACCTAGGAACTTATTAGAGATGCAGAATCTCAGGACACACCCCAGACCTAATGGATCAGCGTCTGCATTTTAGTAAAACCCTCTGTTTGTTCCATATGCACACTGAAGTTTGAGAATCACTGGTCTAATGGATTCACAACATTTTTCTCTTTGCCCTCAAACCTCTGAGTTCTGCTTTTTTTTTTTTTTAATTTTTTTTAATGTTTATTTATTTTTGAGACAGAGAGAGACAGAGCATGAACAGGGGAGGGTCAGAGAGAGAGGGAGACACAGAATCTGAAACAGGATCCAGGCTCTGAGCACAGGCTCTGAGCCTCAGCACAGAGCCCGATGCAGGGCTCGAACTCACAGACTGCGAGATCATGACCTGAGCTGAAGTCGGATGCTCAACCGACTGAGCCACCCAGGCGCCCCTGAGTTCTATTTTTTAATACTTAACGGTACCTGAGGGATGAATGCTTTCATTGGGGATACCAAATGCTTCCAATAAAGTGAAAGCAGAAACTATACTGTTACCTGGCCATTTCAGGACCGCGATGGCCCTAGGAAATAGACAGTAAAGCGACTCATGGGCTTTCATGGGTGACTGATCCTGATCATCAAGGGGAACCAGAGTTGCCGCTAAACAACATGGCAGGAAGGAGGGTGTGTGGAAGTTAAGGAACCTTGGGGGGAAATCTGAGTGTGATCATTCATATAAGCGAGTACAGCCTTGTTCAGAGGTAAAAGTCAGTGGATCATTACCACGGCCTTACAGAGGCAAGATTACTAAGGCCTCAGATTCCCTAAGAATGAAAATTTAGGCCACACCCTGGATAAGGAACCCCACTCACTAATGCTCTAACTGAAGACAAAGGGAACATGGATTAAATGGTAGAAAAAGGAAGTAATAGGAAAAATGGTGAAAGATTTTGGAATGGGTACCCTGTAGAATGCTAGATGCTGTCCAGAGCCCCCTTCTGAATTATGTTGATTCTACATGTCTTGTTTTTCAGTATCTTTGAGCTATTTTAAAATGTTGTAGGGGCGCCTGGGTGCCTCAGTCGGTTAAGTGTCTGACTTCGGCTCAGGTCATGATCTCACAGTTTGTGGGTTTGAGCCCTGTGTCGGGCTTTGTGCTGACACCTCAGAGCCTGGAGCCTGCTTCAGATTCTGTGTCTCCCTCTCTCTGCCCCTTCCCCACTCATGCCCTGTCTCTCTCTCAAAAATAAATAAACATAAAAATTGTTTTTTAATTTAAAATATTGTAAGTTATAGAAAACTGACTACAATGCAAATGATTTTGTCCATAGAGGTACAACTGATCTCCCCACACTCCCCCAAAGTCAGCTGAATATCTATTAACAAATTCATTTAATCATTCCTGCCTGCTTATATAACGTCTGTTCTTTGGCATCTCCTTTGAATTGTTTTTATTTTTTTAACACCTTACTGGTTTCCTTATTAATTAATAAGTTAAGTAAAACTTTCAACGTGTGTCAACTTTATTTTTGTACAAGAGTCATGAGTTTGCCTTTAAAAAATTATCTTTTAGCAGAATACATAATATCACCTATGAACTCATGACTACTTGCATGACTAAGGACGATAGCTTCTATCCATATTTTCTTCCTTTCTGTGTTATGTATAGACTTAAATATTTTAACTAGTTTTATTCTTATGCATTCTCTTTCTCTCCCTCATATAGTATATGGGGTATGTCAATGATGGTTCACTTGCTAATTTAATTTTTAGAGTTCGGCACATTAAGGTCAGAGTCTGAGGAGAAGGCTTTGCCAGAAATACTGGATCTGGTGCTGGACTCAGGTAAAAAAAAAAAAAAAAAAAAAAAAAATTCTGGATTTGCCAAGGACATAAATTATATAGCATTCTTGTTGGAAAGTTTTTTTTAAAGCCAAAATATGGGCAAAGGAGTGAATGTGGGTGTTGATCAGCCAAAGAGGTAACTGACATGGAGATGTATATTTGTTTTTTTCTACCAACATCCAAAGCCTTCTAATTTGGGGAAAGTCTCCCAGTACGAGGATGTTTGTGGGAGGCAAGGCCTGTTATATAGGCTTAGGAAAAAAAAATTCCAAACACTTGCATTTAGGATTTTTGAATCTTCAGGGAATGTTCCCAAGGCACAGATAGCTGGCAGCCAGTGTCCCTGGTGGTGACATTGGCAGCAGATTCCTCACCAGAGCCTTCCTGTGACATAAGCTTGGCTGTCATCTCAGTGAGATGTGACTATGGAAGAATGGTCAGAGATGCTACTCGTTGGCTCTGAAGATGGAGGAAGGGGCACGAGCCAAGGGACACGGCTGGCCTCTAGGAACTGGGACAGACGAGGAAATGGACTCTCCCCTAAAGTCTCCTGCAGCGCCTGGGTGGCTCAGTCGGTTAAGCGGCCAACTTTGGCTCAGGTCACGATCTTGCGGTCCGTGAGTTCGAGCCCCACATCGGGCTCTGTGCTGACAGCTCAGAGCCCGAAGCCTGTTTCGGATTCTGTGTGTCCCTCTCTCTGACCCTCCCCTGTTCATGCTCTGTCTCTCCCTGTCTCAAAAATAAAAATAAAAATGTTAAAAAAAAAAAAGTCTCCAGAAGGAAGGTAGCCCTGCTTGATTTGAACACAGTGAGACCCATGACACTTCTGACTTCTAGCAGTGGGAGACAATACCTTTGTGTTGTTCTAGGGCCCTGCATTCCGGTAATTTGTTACAGTGGCAATAAAAAACTAATACAGTGGGCTACTGTAACATGCCAGGGAAAACACGAAGAGAAGTGCATTTAAGAGAGTGGCAGCACAGGAGGAGAGGCCTGGTTGAAGGATCATCAGGGGGGCAGGGACGAGGCATGCCGTCTCGAACCAGGTGTGTGTACAGGGCTGGGTGGTGAGGGGGAGGCGGAAGTTGGAAGCAATTCCAGGTTTCTTTCTTGGATAAATGGGCTTAGTGGTCAAAAGGAGGAAAAGAGGTGAGTGTAATGGTGAGTGTGAATGTGTGTGAGAGTGCATGTGAGAGTGTGGGGTATGAGGGGTGTGTGTGGGTGTCTGAGAGTGAGAGAACATGTGCGAGAGCACATGAGCGTATGTGAGAGCACATGAGAACGCGAGAACATGTTGGGGAGCATGTAAGTGTGTGTGAGTGTGAGAGTGAGAGCACATGTGAGAGCAAGTGAGAGGGAGTGAGAGTGTGAGTGCGTGTGAACGAGTGCAGGGAAAGCAGACGGGTCTCTCCTAATACCACGCGGCTCCTCTGTCTCGATGCCATTTTTACCAAGAAACTTTCTAATCTTAACTCTCAGGTTTTCCCTCCTGGGAAAAGCTCGTGCTCGCCAGCCAACGCAAACAGCTGCTCAGCTCGTCAGTGATATTTTTCACTCCAAATTAATGAATTGCCATTTTAGTCATAAACCAGGCTCCTGTGAGTTTGGTCAGAGCAAAACAATTTACCGGCGTCTGAGCTTCCCCCAGATGAGTTGACAGAATTGAGTTTCTGCCCCTGCAAAGTAGAGGATCAGACCCCGCACCACGGTGGCCCTGATTACGCCTCCTTACCGGGCTCAGCTTTCCCGTACCCCAGGCTGAAAGGAAGAGACACCTTGGAAAGGCTGCCTTGTGTTTTACCCCTGTGCCAAGCCAATCTCGAATCATGAGGTTCTGTGCTTGCAACCTGACACCTATTTATAGTTCACACTCCGAGATTCCCTCGAATATACCAGGGACCCAGTCTCCAGAGAACACACCCCTATCTAGACCCCCTGCTTCATAGCAGATGCAAGCCCAAGCCAGCAGTTCTGGGAAACTGAGGGAACAGGGCGGGGGTGGGGGGGAAGTTCTGGTAGCAGTTGATCTGGAGGTGGCTGATTTCATCATAAAGGCACCCTGGAAAATCTGAGAAAGAAAGTGACTTTCAAATATGCTTTATTTCTTTACCTGTGCCAAACTTCCAAAATGACAGCTGAGTAAAAGAGGGAGAACAAAGACCCTTTGTCCCTCGCAACGCTAGGGGCCGGGATTGTTGATATCCACCCCTCAGATTAGGATCCAACGCTCTTGGAAGTTAGGTTTCCTGTCCAGCATTGCATCAATCAAATGACAGAGCCAGAACTTGACTTCAGACTCCTGATGCCCAAATCCACATGCTTTGTACTTTGACCTGGGTTTCTGTGGTACCATGGGATGGGGTACCCTTTCCTCATCACCCACCCCATGTAGGTCTTTGTCGAGCAGGGGCAGTCTGATGATTCCCCTGCCTAGAGGTACCCTGCACATCTAGAGCTGTGATGGTGTCACCCAGCAATAATATAGTCCTCCAACCTCTAAGTATTCTGGATTCCCTTCTCAGCGCCTGCACCAAGGAGGGCATAGGGCATCCTGCTTCTCTCAACACTTCACATCCAGCTTCCCCGCAACCATCAGGCCCCCACCAATAAGAGCTACTTACATATTCTTTAATGTCCTTTGATTTCACAGCCTTGTAGGAATAATACGCAGGGTAAAGGGTGCCAAATATAAGCCTGGAGGGAAGACAGAGAGAGAGAGAGAGAGAGAGAGAAAAGAGAAATGTCATTTTCATTCATCCTATTTGATGGAAAAGGTCTGTCTACAATGCCAAAAACACTTCTCCATGCTCCAGAAAATGCTGCTGAGAGGCTTGATCTAGTTTTATGAATGCCCTAAAGGTTTCCTCCCCTAGCTGGGATGTGCTTGGAACCTCTGTCTTCTATTTCAGTGGCACATCCACCTTCCTTCAGTCTGTGATTTGGCAACATGAAAGAGTGATCCAGGGTCATGGAAGCCAAAACCGGGGGTGAGAGTGGGTGTGGGAAGCCAAGTTGAGCAGCCATGACCCCTGAAATTAAAGGTCAAACTCTCCTCTCCTGCTAATCCCCACTGCTGCTCTATAAAGCCCACCCATACCTTGGGCTTCCTCCTCTAAACTAAACTTTTCACTTAAAGTTCCTTCAAATTTCACTCCCCTCACGCTTGATTCCCACATCCTGCAGCCAGAATCAGCTTTTAATCGTAAATCCAGTCAGGCCAACCCCTCTTTCCCAATACACACATCCCCACCCTGCATTAACCTGCTTCTCACTGCTCTTAATAAGAGGAAGGAAAAGTGAGACCAGCACAACCGCTTGGGTATCAGCTCCCACTGATCCCTGCCCAGGGCTGCAGGGGGTCATTGGATAATTTGACTCTCACCCTCCCACCCCTGCCCCTAAGGACCTGCATGGCATAGCTCCACCACCTTGCAGCATCCCCTCTCAAAGCCTCTGCCTGTGCTGTTCTCGCTTTCTGGAATCTTCCCTTTCCCTTCTTTGCTTGTTAATGCCTGTTCATCTATCAGATCCTGGCTCTATCATGACTTCCTCATGGAAGATATCCCCAACTTTACCGACTAGGTCAAATCTCCTACTACATGAGGTACACAACATCAAAATGCTCACTTTGATGGACAACATCTCCCGAACTCTAAGTGCCTGCAGACCACAGAATGAATCTGTTTTATTCCACAATGTGTTCTCAGCACCTCAATGGCTCTCAATGGATATTGAGACACCTCCAAGTGTCAATTCAGGTGTAAGCTGATTGGGAACAGAGGCACTCTGGTGGTCCCAGACCCCACATGAGCCAACATCTCCTCTAACAACCCCACAGATAGAGAGCCTCTAGGGTCCCTGCAAGGAGACACCACACTCAGGAAGCCCAAAGCCATGGCTTCCTCATCAGGTATTTAGAGGCCATACAGAGAAATTCCAGTCCAGATTCAATGTACCAAGCAGGGGTCAGTTTTACTAAAAGCTCTGTGGCCAGGTAACACCTTCACATTTCACATTCATCAGGTTTCTGGGGAAAAACGGAAAGTGAGTGGAACTGAGTCCATTTCTGATGCTGAAAGAGAAAGGGCTTTGTAACCTTGACTCATACAGGCCTTGCACTAAGTGCTTTATACGCATTACCTCAGGCCTCAGACTTGCCTTGATTAGAAAACAAAAAACAAAAAACAAAAAACAAAAAAAAAACGTCTTTTACAGACAGGATACCAACACATGGAGTAGGCAGTCACTTGCTTCTCTAAGGTTGTGGGACCATAAGAAGTAAATCAGGGGCTAGAACCCAGCCAGGTTGGCCTCCTCCAAGCCTGGCTTCTGACCACCACTGCCTACTGCTTTGGAGAGCCAGGCCATCCTTTGGTAAGGCCAGAATTATGTGTGGGGAGCAAGAGAAGCCAGCAAAGGGGACAACAGAGTAGTCTGAAAGGAAGGGGAGAATGAAGGACTGGGGGAGGCAGGAAAGGAATTTTAAGAAAGAGAAAGAAGGCAACAGTTTCAAAGGCACTGGGCAGGCCAAGGGGGATATCTCTTGTGGGAGTCCCCTGGGCTGAATAATGAGCCAGCTTGGTGAGGGAGGTCTCCCCAACCACTCCTCCCAAGCATCCTCAGATGTCAGGGAGTCTCAGTTTCTTGTGAGGCCTTTCCCCTTATCCAAACCACCCGTAATGGTTTCTTCGATGTCTGTCTCTCCTAAAAGACTATACGTTTTCCAAAGCCCAGGATGGTATCTGTCTCATTCATAATGCACCCCCCGCCCACCCGGGGCCTGGCAGGTGCTCAATAAGTACCCATTCACTGTGTGAAGTTTCAAGAGTGGGGAAGTGAAAGCCAGAGCCATCCAGGGAACAATTGTGACCTTGGGACTGAGGTCTCAGCATCCAGCGGGGAAGCCAGACGGCACCAGGCTGATTCAGCAAAGCCTCAGGCACAGTGCCACAGGTTCCGGAGAAATAAACACACCGCTCCTTTGGCACAGATGCCCTGGTTATTAGCCACGTCTGCCAGGATGGCTTCCAGCCCCTTCCTTGAGGCAGCATGTGAGCTTCAGAAATGAGAGAGGTGGAAAACACATCATGACCCAGGGCCAGCTTATTGATTTGTTCCTCTGTGAACCCCAGCAAGTAGAGTGGAGACACTGACACCATCTGAGTGGTCACAAAACCGGAAAGCCTCAAGGACACCCAGACAAGAGAGGCTGTGCTCCGTCTGCTGGACCCCTGCTGTGACATGGTGGCCAGTGTTCCCCTGCGTGCCACCCCACCCCATGTTTGACTGCACAGGGACCACAAGACAAATTTGTTTTCCAGCCTCTAAAGCTTCAATTAGGCCAGCAGGTAGTGGGAAACACCTAGCTCTTCACTGCTGAGGACAGAAGAATGAGATTAAAACGGCAAGTTCTGGGGTGCCTGGGTGGCTCAGTCAGTTAAGCATCCAACTCTGAATTGTAGCTGAGGTCATGATCTCACGGTTCGTGAGTTCGAGCCCTGCGTTGGGCTCTGTGCTGACAGTGCTTGGGATTCTCTCTCCCTCTCTCTCTGCCTGTCCCCCCACTTGTCCCCCACCCCAAAATAAATAAATTTAAAAAAATTATTTAAAAAATGGCAACTTCTACCAAATCTGTTCTGGAGAAAAGAAATAAGCAAATGAAGCAGATCCAAGCCAAAGGGTTTTGGCACTTAATGTCCATTCAGATCAAGTCCCTTCTCCAGTGCAACACTCCCCCCGCCCCCCACCTTCCTTCCCAGCCTCAGCCTCCGGATGTCACAGCCAGCAGCTCTACCCTATAAGCCATGCTCATTTGCTCCCAATCTGTGACTTCCTGCCCGCATCTCAGTGCGTGACCTTTCCACAACTCCCCAACTTCTTTTTTCCTGATAAAGTCCGACTAATCCTTTAAGACCCATCTCAAAAAAGCCACTTCTGTGTACCTTTGGTCACTTGCCTCTCAGAACGTTCTTGGCACTCTATTACAGCCTTTTATGCTGTAGTATAATAATAACAATAACAAATCAATATAATAAATAATAATAAATATAGTAAATCAATGTTAATAATGATATTAATATTGCTGAGTGCTTACTAATGCCAGGCACTGCTCTACAGGCTGTACACATTCTCTCACTTCATCCTCTCAACACCCATTTGGGTCAAGAATTCTCCATTTTACAGACAAGGACACTGAGACCTAAGGAGACAGAACAGCCAGGAGCAGAGGTGGGATGTGGACCTGGGAAGCCTGACTATGGGGCCCGCCTTATTTCTTCTCCCCGGGTTGCCTGTCCTGGCTGAGTTGTCTCCCCAACCAGAATATGCAGGTCTGGTCTGATTAGTGGGGTTCCTATTGCCTGGCGCAGCCCCTGCCCAAGTGGGCGCTTGATAAATGTCTGTTGAGTGAATAAAGATAAAAGAATTGTGATCTTGCTCCAAGGAGCTTAACCCACTTGATAGATTCATGTTACTCTCCCCACAAGGTCAGGAGGAAAGCAGTAAAATACTTAGGAGGATTTAAAGTGCTCCAGGTATTCAAGGCTGGCCCCAGCAGAGGGAAGGTGGGGGGCTTCAGCGCCTCGCTCTGGAGAGGAGACCAGGTTCTGGCTAACACCTTCCTTCCTGTTGTTACTGAACAGAACCTCACGCCACACCCCACAGCCTCAAAAAGCCCTGCACCTACCCTCGCTTCTCGCTGCTGTCATTTACTGCTACCCTGAAGCCCCTACCCCTAACTTAATGGCTCTATTTATTTATCTGCTTGACTCATTTCTCCTATCTTGGCCTTGCATTCTTTCTCTTGCTCCAAGTTAAGGGCCTTCATCCAAGGGCTGCCTCTCCCACCACTTCCACAGCTGTAGTATCTAGAAGGGACCATGAGTCTCATCTTCCAAGGCAGCGGTTCCCCACCAGAGGTGATTTAGTTTCCTCAGACATCTGGACAATGTCTGGAAATCCTCTGGTTGTCACACTGAGAGAGTGCTACTGGTATCTAGCAGGTGGAGGCCAGGGATGCTGCGAAATATCTTCCAATGCAAAGGACACCCCTCCCCCCAACAAATAATGATCCAGCTCAAAAAGCCCAAAGTGCCAAAGTGGAGAAACCCTGGTCTAGTGTGCTGTTTCCCAGTCCTTGGCCATGGATTCTTCACTCAGTCATCAAGGACAATCTGCCCGAGTTTGATTTTTGTTTTGTCGTTTGTTTTTTTGTGTGTGTGTGCCAAGATTGGGGGGCAAGGGGGGAAGCCCAGCATCCCAGGCAAGACAGCAGATGCTCAGATAGGAAGGGGCTACCCCAAATGGCAAAGACCACATACCTATCCCATCGGTCAGTGTCAGGGAAAACACAACTCTGAAGCTACTTATCAACTTCCTGGAGCTCTGGCCAGGAGAACAGAGGTATTGCTCACATGCATAAACCGTAACTATGATGCCGGTTACAGTTACCAAGGAGGAGTGCTTACCACTCCGGGAGCCTGCAGGGGAGCAATTGCTGGCCTGGAGCTCAAGTACAAGCTGTGGGACAGGCGGTTTGGCCAAGACTTCTGCAAACCACGAAACAGTATTTTCTACAGTCTTCTCAGACATCCTAGTGTTGGACTGACATTTCCCAATCCCAAATTATGTTGAAAATTTAAAAATCAATGTTAAGGACATTTTCTTCTAAAATTAATTTCTCAATATAAGAAACATAACAGGCCTAGTGTATGGTTGTTCATATTATGATAAAACAAATTGAATTTAAGGAATAGTATACCACACACAGGCTTCTGGAATGCTGAATTTCTAGACCTGCACAGTAGTTATGCAGAGTTCTGCTTTGTAATTACAAATGTATATGAAAATGTACACATATATTCTATGCACTTTTTATATGTGGATATTTTATAATTTTTAAAAGCAGTGTCCCATATCCAAAAAAATGAATTTGCACAAAAGGTCTTCCAAATCATGAAGGTACACTGTTTCTTTTGGACATCAAAAGGCTATTAAATTTTTTTTTAAATCTTTTTAATGTTTATTCAGCTTTTGAGAGAGAGAGACACACACAGAATCCGAAGCAGGTTCCAGGCTCTGAGCTGTCAGCAGAGAGCCCAATGCGGGGCTTAAACTCACTGACTGTGTGATCATGACCTGAGCCAAAGTCCACAGCTTAATCGACTGAGCCACCCAGGCACCCTGCTATTAAATTTTACATTGATTACATTTTGTGCTTTCTGTTCTTAATAAAATAAAAAATAAATAATTTCTAATAGTTTTACTCAGAAGGTTTTTTCCTAAAAGCTTATGAATCAATTTTTATTACTCTCTATGAGAATTAATCCCCAAGACCACTTTGCTGTCTATGCTAATAGAAGGATGCTCCTTGGTTTTTGAGTTCCTATTGGCATTTGAGTAAGTATACCATAATTCTTAATACGAAAAAACTTTAAGACATGGCATATATTTGAAGTTTCCTATATATTCTTTCCTGATGCATTCCATTCCCTCCCTCCCCAAAATAACCACTATCCTGAATTTGGTCTCACTATGTTTTTATTAACTACATAAGGCATGCAAAAAAAAAATTATAACTGCTTAAACATTATATATATGGAATTACACCCCAAGTATCCCACTGAAATACGTTATTTATTTATTTTTGAGAGAGAGAGAAAGACAGCACAAGCAGGGGACAGGGACAGAAGGAGAGAGAGAGAATCTCAAGCGTGGTCCATGCTCAGCAAGGGGCTCAATCCCACAACTCTGGGATCATGACCTGAGCAGAAATCAAGAGTCAGACGCTCAACTTACTGAGCCACCCAGGTGCCCGTGAAATAAGTTTTTAAATTCAACTTTGTGCTTTTGAAATTTGATCTATGTTGATACATGTCTTTCTAGACCATTTGAAACCACCAAATGAATAGTATTTCACCATGTGAATATATCACAATTTGTTTATCTATATATAAATATGCATTTATTTATGCATATTTAGGTTCTTTCCAATTTTTTACTATTTCAAACAGGGCTGTAATGACCATTCTAATACACGTCTCCTGTGCAGTGTGAGTCATGGGGTACAGCACCTTCTACCATACAATGCAAATCCACTCACCAGAGAGGTTCTGCCAGTTTCAACTCCTCCCTGCAGTGGAGAAGACTTCCCATGCTAGCCATTCTTGCCAAACTGATATAGATTTAAAACTTTTTGCCAGTCTGGGGGTGCCTGGGTGGCTCAGTCGATTAAGTGTCTGACTCTTGGTTTCAGCTCAGGTCATGATCTCGCAGTTTGTGGGTTTGAGCCCCATGTTGGTCTCTGCACTGACAGTGTGGAGCCTGCTTGAGATTCCCTCTCTCTCCCTCTCTCTTGGCCCCTTCCCTGCACCTGCTCTCTCTCTCAAAATAAACAAACAAACTTAAAAAAATTGTTTGCCAGTCTGACAGATGTGAAATGGTATCTCATGCTTGTTTTAATTTGTATTTCCCTAATTACAAGTGAGGGTGAGCAGCCTCTTATGCCTATTGGCCATTTGGCCTGCTTAACTGGCCTATTTACATCCCTCATTAGCTTATGTTTTTCTTACTGATATTTAGGACTTCTTTGTGAATTCTGAGTATAAATCTTTCCTTGAACATGTTCATTACAAACACCTTTCTCCAATAAAAAACTATTTTAACTTTGTTTGTAGTACCTTCTGTTGTAGAAGTTTTAAATTTTACATGGACAGGGATGCCTGCGTGGCTCAGCCGGTTAAGCATCAGACTCTTGATTTCAGTTTAGGTCATGATCTCACAGTCATGGGATTGAGCAGGCTCAGTGTGGAGCCTGCTTGGGGTTCTCTCTCCCCCCCCCCCCTTCTCTCTTTTCCTCCCCCACTCCTGCTCTCTCTCTCTCTCTCTCAAAAATAAGCATTTTTTTAAAAGTCTCTTTAAAAAAATAAGTACATTTTACATGGACAAATATATCAATCTTTTACAGTTTGTTTTTGTATCTTGCTAAGGAAATCCTGGTCACATATTTTTTCCCAAAATATGTTTAACTTTTGCTTCCTCACTATTGGTTTGAATTCATGTGGATTTATCTTTATGTATGCTGCAAGTTCAGGATCCAATTTTATTCTTTTCTGTATGGATTTCAATTGTCCCAGTAATATTTACCAAATCCTTTCCCATTGGTTTTGAGTTCTATCCATCACATATAAAGTCTTCCAATGTGTAGAGGTATTATTTCAGCTCTCTGTTCCATTCTACTGGTCTGCCATCTAAGCATACACCTATACCACAGTATCTTAATTCTCATAGCTTTATAATAAATTCTGATATTATTAAAATGGTCTTGCCTATTCTCAGCTTTTTTCTATATGAATTTCCTGACAGCTTGTCAAGTTCCATGAAAAACTTAATTTGGATTTTGGTTGGAATTGCACTGAACTTGTAGGTTTACTCAGGAAGAAACACCATCTTTGTGTTAACTGGGTATCTCCTTTTGAACATTATCCTTTCCATCTACTCATGCTTTCTTCAACGTCTTTTCATGATATGTTATACATTTTTCCATAAATATCTTGGACATGTTTTGTTTTATTTACTGCTAAGCACTTAGGGATTTTAGGTGGTATTGTGAATTTTTAAGTTAGATTTTCTTTTGGTTACTAATGGCATACAGGAATGTTATTGATTTTCCACACTGATCTCAGAACTGCTAATCCTTCTGCAATCAAAAGCACTTGGAGTCTCAAATGCATTACATTATATGAAAAGGCCAGACTAAAGAGTCGACATGCTGTATGATTCCATTTACATGCTATTCTGAAAAAGGGAAATTTATAGAGACAAAAAAAAAAAAATAGATCAGTGGTTGCTGGGGCTAAGGGTGGGAGGGACTGACTACAAAGGAGAGTGAAGGAATTTGGGGAAATGATGGAACCATCCTGCATGTTGATTGTGGTGGTGGTTACAAACTGCATTTATTTAAACTTGGAATTCAAACTCAAGATTAAAAGAAAAATCACACTAAAAAGAGTGACCTTTACTAATTATAGCTCAATAAACACGACCTTTAAAACAAGCATTTGGAGGAATCCACACTCTTAAGTGTGAGTGTAAGTGTATGTGTGTGTCTCCAAAAATGGATAAAATCAACTGACGCCTCCAAGCTCTGAGACAACTTCCTGACAGCAGAGGGTCCATATGTAATGAAACAAGGACTCGCAAAAACCATAATGCACCTCCAGGGCCTGTTAATACTCTAGTCCTGAAAGATGCGCCATGGACCTGGGTTCTAAATACAGCTGAGCCAGCCTGATCTTTACCATGCTGCTGCAGGGAACATCCTCACAGCAGTAATCCAGAAGCTTACCTGGGCAGAGTTGCTCAGGCTGGGCACACAGCTCTGGGTTCCCTCAGTGCGTTCGGTTTCCAATGGCACAGTGAACCACCTGGGAAATGGTTGCCATGAGTCCTAACCCTTGGGCCTCTGCTTCTGCTTACCCACTGTGACCTTCTAAAAGGATAGAGGAGAAACTATGAAAACAGCAGAACCGGCCCATTTGCATTTTGGCTCCTTGACAGGTATATGATTAAGATGTATAAACAACTATTTATTTATTAAATGCCCATTATGTGCCAAGAACTGTGCAAACCTCATTATAAGCATTATTACTTTAATTTTATATAACCCTGCGAGACAACTATTATCATTGTCCTTGTATTGCAGATGGGGAACCTGGGGTTTAGGGAAATTAAGTAACTGAGTTTAACATTAGTTAGGGGAGGAGGCCAGACTCGAACCCAGGTCTATGTGACTCCACTGCCCAAGATTTGCTGCTTTATTAACTTGACTGCAATGCATGGCTCAGAGGCTGCCATGATCCCTGAATGAATGAATGAATGAATGAGGATCAGAGAGAGAGAGAGAGAAAGAGAGAGAGAATATTGCCTGATTTCTTGCCCAAGACAATTCGAGCCTGGCACTGTATTATATATTTATTGACACAGGTGACAGTATAACTTACAGGGTTCCAAATGCACAAACTTTTCACACAAACGAGGTTCTTTCCCTCAACCTCTGCCAAGATCAGAACACAAACAAGCCACATCTTTTGGACCACAGCATGTGATTCTGCTGACCTCTCTCTGCAGTCTTTCTTTCCCAGTGTGTTCCACCCCGCCCCCGATCCTCTCCAGATTTGGAACTAACACACACAAAACTCCTCCTGGGGTTATGCCCCTCACAAATATCTCATTTGCTTATTTGCTCATTTGATCCACACCACAAGTGTCTGAGATCACTGGGGTTACCTTCCCGGTGTGCATGAAAATCAAAGAAGGAAAACCACGGAACAATGAAAACCTGAGGCTTAGAGTGGTTCAGGGGTCTGCCAAAGGCCCTCCCCATCCAACCAGATGCAAACTCGGGCCTCCTGCCTCCAAGTCCACAACCATTGTCCAGCCCACACTGCCTCTCTTAGCACAGAGAGGGGGGTTTTTATTGCTTACTTAGAGCTGTCTGTAATTGGTGCGATAAAAAGCATGATTCAGATTGGATTACAGAAATACTCCCAAACCCAATTTAGAAAAGCACAAAACGGAACAAACATTCTGCAAATTTTCAATTCATGCTGTTAAGCTTGAAACTCTGCAATCCAACCCACTCAAATCCTGCTCAAGTATCAGTCTGGATATTTTTTAAGTCTAACTTGTAGAGATTTATTTTTTTATTTTTTTTTTTAACGTTTATTCATTCTTGAGAGACAGAGAGAGACACAGCATGAGCAGCGAAGGGGCAGAAAGAGGGAGACACAGAATCTGAAGCAGGCTCCAGGCTCCGAGCTGTCAGCACAGAGCCTGAAGCAAGAGCTCGAACTCACAAACCGAGAGATCATGACCTGAGCCGAAGTCGGACACTCAACCGACTGAGCCACCCAGGTGCCCCTAAATTGTAGAGATTTCTATTCTTAAGAAATCTAGAGGCTGAGTTTTGGCATCAGACCGGAGACTGAATCCAGCTCCATCACTGACTACCTACGGGACTGTGGGCACATTTCTTAACAACTCTCAGCCAGTGTCCTTGATTGTACAAACCAAAATACTTTCAACAGCTGCTATGCAGATGAAATGAGACTGGAGGTAAAGATTTAACATACCAGAAACCCCATAGATGAATGACAAATATTAATTCCCTTCCTTTCTGTAGAAATAATAACTTCAAATGCCAATTATTAAACACAAAATATTTTTCGTTCAATATTAAATATCTGTTGAGCACTTAGTATGTGCCCTGTGTCGTCTGGTGGGAAGGCAGCCAGCACACAGGTAATTATACAAATAATTGATTAATAACAATCCTGTGTTGAGTGTTGCTGAGTATTTTTTTTAATGTTTATTTGTTTATTTTGAAAGAGAGTGTGTGTGCGTGTGAGCAGGGGGAAGGGCAGAGAGAGAAGGAGAGAGAGAATCTCAAGCAGGCTCTGCACTATCATCACAGAGCCTGATGCGGGGCTCGAACTCACAAACTGTAAGATACTGACAGGAGCCCAAATAGTGTTGGACTCCTTAACCAGCTAAGCCACTCAGGCACCCTGCTGAGTGTGTTTTGAAGGGAAGAACAGATTTCTTTACAATGACCATCTCCCAGCTCATGCTCCTCCCCCCACCACCCTGGGTCTGAGAGCCTGAGACCTGACACTCAGCCAGAGGGTCCCCTGGTAAAGGGGTTATGGTTTTCTCCTCCCAGTGAACTTCCCGTGAAGCCCCCTACAAGGAATGTATTTCGTGAGAGGAATGGACTGACAGAGTCTGAGAATTAGTGGGAGGGGCTCTTTGAGCTGTACTTGTGGGCTGGTACCTGTGGGGTTTCCTGGGGACGTGTCTGCTCAGCTCATGCCCTTCCTGCCTCCCATACAGCAAGTGCTGGTATCATCCTGCCTAGCCCACTTGGAGGTCTGCACAGCGTGAATGTGCCTGTCTGGGGGAGGGTATCACAGGGCTCTCGGGAAGGAGAGGGGAACAAACCTTTACTGATACCCACCAGGCACCGTATCCCCCCAGCAGTCAGGTGAAGTTGCGACTATTATTCCCTTTTTACACAGGAGGGACCTGGGACTTAAGGAGGCTTCCTTCATTCATTTATTCAACAGACATTTACTCAATACATTCTGTGCCAAATTCTGAGTCCAACACAAGGTCACGGAACTACTAAGTGGGTGAGGTGGATTTGGAAGACTCCGAATGGGGTCTGGTTTCAAACCCCTTACTCTTCCCCATCCAATATGATGCCTCAAGAAGGTCAGAGATTTTATCCTCAGGGTGATCACAAAGTGGCAGGGGTGCCAGTATACCAGAACAAGATAGGTAGTAGAACAAAGCTGTGCATACTAAGTATCAAAGGAAAACTCTACGATGATGGGGCCAAGTACCTCCTCCATTAGACTGTGAGCTCTCTGAGGGCAAGGACTGGGCCTTCTCCATCTCAGCATCTCCAAGGTTGAGCATAGAGTAAGTAATGCATACAATGACGGTGATGAAATTCAAATGCACTAGCCTAAGTGAAAGAAGTCAGGTTCAAAAGGCTATATGCTACATGACTCCAATTATGCCACTCTGGAAACAATAAAACTACGAAGACAGAAAACAGGTGAGTTGCCAGAGGCTGGGGTGGGAGGAGAAGATGACTACAAAAGATAACCTTTTCCAAAAAGGAAAATTTTGGAGGTGATGGAACTGTTCTATATATTTTGACAGTGGTTACACAACTATAAGCATTTGTCAAAGCTTGTAGCAATACACAACAGAAATAGTGAATTTCACTGTATGCAAATTATACCTTAATTTTTTTTTAAGTTTATTTACTTAAGCAATCTCTACCCCAAAACGGGGCTCAAACTCACAACCCTGAGATCAAGAGCCACATGGTCCACCCGCTGAGCTGGCCAGATGTCTCCTCTAATTTTTAAAATGGGGGGGGAAAAAAGAGAGGGGGAGTGAGAAAAAGAATGAATACAAGCAGAAGTAGATTTGCAGTGAAGCTAATGAAGTTAGAGCTTCAGGGCTCCTCAACTGCATGGGTCCCGGGAGGGGTCCCAGCTATGTGTTCATCAAATTTTGTATGATTTTTTCTGAAAAAGCTCCTTCTCTCCACCCTAAAAGCTTCAGGCCCCAGGAAAAGTAGGTCCATCCCTGAAACTAGTACAGAGAGTAAAAATGGCAGGCTCCCAAGGAGTTGTGGACTCAAGTGGAACCCTAGAGAAAGGGAAGACCTGGTTCTCACAGACAGAGGTACAAAAGACAATCCACAGAGAGGAACCAGCATGGACCAAAGTGCAGAAGCCTTCCAGGATTTCCAGTGATGGCACGAGCACCAGGAATTCGGTGGTTCTACACTACAGGTTCCCTATCCCAGACCGGTTGTCATGGCGTGATCTCCGAAGCCACACCAAGCCGTTCTAGGCAAGTAGGAAAGCTGCGACCCAATGTGATGTGAAAATTCCAGATGCTGCCAAGCTGGTCTAACAAGCATTTATCATCCTTCTGGCTCCCTGAATAGCAAAGACACCCCCCACCCCGACAACCGCCCTGTGCAGGGAGGTTTTCACCTTACATACCTGAAGCTGAGAATGGTTAATGCTCCAGCTTCCCTGGCAGCAGGGATGTGGGCTTGTGGCAGACACACCTGCCCACGTATGAACCCAGGTCCTTCCAACCTCTCGCTCAGCCATAAGGAGGCTACACTCCTCAGGCTTACAATCCCATGATGCCACATGAACACACATTGCCAAAGAGGCTGGTGTTGAATGTCAAGTCACTGAGTTCTTGATGGTTAAAATAAGCCAAGTTAATATATATATTTTATATATATAAAATGGGTGAGATAAGTTATAAATATAAATAAAATGGAATATAATGGAATACTATTCAGCCTTAAAAATAAAGAAATCCTGACACCTGCTGCAACACAAATAGACTTTGTGGACATTATGCTAAGTGAAATAAGCCAGACACAAAAAAGACAAATATTGTATGATTCCATTTACATGAATAGACAACCTCAGATAAATCTACTACTCATGTAGATACTACTCTAGATAGGCCAAATTCATAGGAACAGAATATAAATGATAGTTGCCAGGGGCTGGTGGGGGGAGAAGAAATAGGGAGTTGTTGTTTAACAGGCATAGAGCTTCAATTTTTAATTTTGCAAGATGAGAAAGTCCCAGAGATTGGTTGTACAATAACACAAATATACTTAACACTACTGAACTGTACATTTAAGGGTGGTTAAGATGGTAAATTTTGTTATATCTTTTTTTTTTGCCACAATTAAAGTAAAATAAAATAAATGTATGATGTTTATGAACCAAAAAAATTTTTTTGACATGGAGCACCTGGGCGGCTCAGTCGGTTAAGCGTCTGACTCCTGGGTTTGGCTCAGGTCATGATCTCACGGTTTATCAGTTCGAGCCCCGCATTGGGCTCTGTGCTGACAGCCTGCTTGGGATCTTCTCTCTCCCTCTCTCACTGCCCCTTCTCTGCTCACTCTCTCTCTTTAAAAAAAAAAAAAAAATCTTGACATGAATATTTGTTAAAATCATCCATATTTGAAAACTTAAAAGAACACAATTTACTTCATATAAGCCATCAGCTCATTTAATCCACAAATGGTTCATCCTCACAAATTCTAACAAAAATTCTAACAAATTCTAGCAAATTTTAAAAAAGTGGAACATATAATTGTTCAAGTTATACCTGCTCTGTTTCATGGTACAATGCTATTTATTTTACTGAAATTTTCAAACAAAAGAAAATTTACCAACTTTAGAAGGCACTGTCATCTCAATTCATTACAGAGGATATCATGACGGAAAATGAGTGAAAATTAACAAGTGATGCAAATATCCATTTTTTAAATGGTTTTGGTTGTAGAGAAAGAAAGAAAATGCTGTATGTTATGTTCTATCCAGAAGTCACACTACTAAATATGTTCCCTCTATTGATATTTTAAATATTTTTTTACACCTTGATTTGTTCCAGAAAGGATCTGAGGGGGCTCGGTTATAAATAGTCGTGTGATTCATAAGAAACTACCATGATTCCAGGCCACTGGGCTTGTCCGCAGAAAGGCTCGGGGCAGCTAACACAATCGCTGCTGTCATCCCACTCGAAGGGGAGGAAGGAGCTAGAGGAAGGCAAACCTTGTCTACACCTGACCCACGTGCTCATGGAAGAACAAAGATGGCCTGAAACGGGGATGTCTGGCTCATGCCCAGAATGCCTCCCTGATTAGACCATAAGAGCTGGAGAAAAGAAAGCAAGCTGGCCAACAGCCACGTTTCCTTTGGAGAGAGAAGTTTAAGTTTTGAGAGACGAATCTCCAGCACATGTCTTCATTATGAGGGAGTTACGCTAATTATGAGAGACAGGGAAAGCACAAACACAGCTGATGGCTGCGTAAGAACGGTCCTGCTGGGTGTTCTCCTGAGGCAGCTCCAGGGCTGGCCAGCCTGTACCCCCCACAGGGAACACCTGCCCTGCAGATGATGTAAAGCAAGTCCACTGCTTCCCTGGGAGACGGCCAGCGAGTGTGGACCTCTCCACTTTGCTAGCTGCACCGCTCCAGGGGCTCTGGACACCAATGCAAACAGGCCTTGAGTAAGGAAGGTGAGGCCCCAGGCTGGGAAATAATGTTTGTTTTTGATGCTTATAAAGGTAATCTTTGGTACTGCTCTAAAAGGTATGGGGGAATACTGCTTCATAGTTAAGAAGGAGGAATATAACACAGTTTGCTTTGTTTAGAAAATAAAGATATTCCTCCCAATCACAGAATGAGAATTACTTTTTTTTTTAAAGTATGATCCATGCTCAGTGTGGGGCCCAAACCCACAACACTGAGATCAAGAGGCGCATGATCCACTAACTGAGCCAGCCAGGTGCCCCAAGAACCACTCTTTAACAAGTATGCCATTTGTTTCTGCAGATTTGAAAAGAATGGATAAAACTAGGTCACTGAGAAGGAGAGAAAAATTCCAAGACAGAAAGAATCGGCTTTGAGGCTGGAGATATAAGAAATTTGGTTTGCTTCAGGATGAAAACAATATGCATTCTTTCCATTTGTGAGTCTCCAGTGGCCACGATTATAGGGAGGGCATAAGGGAGTGTCTAGTGAGGGAAATTCTATTCTCCAGAGGACCAACACCAAGAAGGAAAGCTTCACAGAAGAAAGAAGTTAGGAGCACCTGGGTGGCTTAGTCGGTTAAACGCCCAGCTTTGGCTAAGGTCATGATCTTGAGGTTCAGGAGTTTGAGCCCCGAATTGGGCTCTGTGCTGACAGCTGGGAGCCTGGAGCCTGCTTTGGATTGTGTCTCCTCTCTCTGCCCCTCCCCCTCCCCTGCTCATGCTCTGTCTCTCTCAAAAAGAAAACAAAACAAAACAAAATAGAAAAAAAAGTTAACATCACATAATAACCAGTGGCTGTACTGAATGCTTGCTGGGCGTGGTTTTAAGCACTCACTGTACATGCATTTGCATGTACAAAAACTGTGCGAAGGAGGCATGTTTACAATCTCCATGGACTGGAAATAAGAATCAGAGAAGTTAAATAATTGGGCTACAATCACACACGAGTCTGTGGCAGGGCTGGAACTAGAATGTGAGATTTCAAACCCTGGGTGCTAAAACCACTGATGTCCCCACTTTTTTTTTTTTTTTTAAGAGAGAGAGAGAGAGAGAGAGCACAAGCATAAGCCAGGGAGAGGGGCAGTGGCAGATACATATATATATATATATAGAGAGAGAGAGAGAGAGAGAGAGAGACAGAGAGAGAGAGAGGGAGAGAGACAGAGAGTGAGAGAGAGAGAGAGAGAGAGAGAGAGAGAGAGAGAATCCTAAGCAGAGTTCATGCTCAGCACAGAGCCCGACTCATGGCTGGATCCCTTGATCACAGTCTGAGCAGAAATCAAAAGTCAGATACTCTACCTACTGAGCCACCAAGGCACCCACCGCACTTTTTTGATAGCACACAAGTCAGTAAAATATTTAGGTCACACATTCCTTGTATCATCACATTATTTGTGGGCTTTGCTGAGGAAATCCTTTTAAGTTATCATCAGGGTTATTAATTAATTTTTTAAATGTGTATTTATTTTTGAGAGAGAGAGAGAGAGAGACAGAGTGCGAGTGGGGGAGAGGTAGAGAGAGAGAGGGGACACAGAATCCAAAGCAGGCACCAGACTCTGAGTTGTCAGCACAGAGCCCAATGCGGGGCTCAAACAAGCGAACTGTGAGATCATGGCCTGAGCCAAAGTCAGATGCTTAACCAAGCCATCCAGGTGCCCCTCATCAGGGTTATTAATTTAAAATGATGGGGCGCCTGGGTGGCTCAGTCGGTTAAGCGTTCGACTTCGGCTCAGGTCATGATCTTGCGGTCCGTGAGTTCGAGCCCCACATCGGGCTCTGTGCTGACAGCTCAGAGCCTGGAGCCTGTTTCAGATTCTGTGTCTCCCTCTCTCTGCTCCTCCCCTGTTCATGCTGTCTCTCTCTGTCTCAAAAATAAATAAATGTTAAAAAAAATTTTTTAAATGAGATTGTCCAATACAGAGGCCCACACACCAAGGCTCATGCCATCTGTAACACAACTTGGTTTCTGCCGAAGGCAAACAAGAGTGGGGGACTGTGTCAGGGACTGCCACTTCTTCCTCACTCCCATGGGAGTATGTGCCACAAGTTTGGTGCACATGCAGACCCAGTACCCACTCTGGGCTGTGCACTGTACTACAAACCACCCACTTGATCTACCATACTCACAGAGCCCAGTGGCTTTCCCTGACCCCAGAGCTGGTCAGCATCTGTGAATGGGGGATGTGCCTGGCTCTAAATCTGCCTGCACCCTAAGCTGCCCACAGACGCAGGAACAACTTCAGAGGCTGAGGACCTAGGCGCTGATGCACTGCACGCCTGCCAGATAAGGGTCCTTGGATAAGTGCCCAGGGAACCTCACTTGTTTTATCTCCTTTGCATGATGGTGTATCCTCAATGGTCAAATGGGATGATACACATGAAAATACTTTGAAAACAGAAATGCTGCACAGATCTGCAAAATTATTTTCCCTATGGGGGAAGCTCTGAGCAGAGGACCATGGACTGTAGTATCCCCCCACCAAGAGGGGTGATGTGGGAGCCCTCATGGGAGTTATTTAACCAGTCCAAGAGTGACGCTGGGTCAAGCCTTTAGGCCTATAAGACCCGGGAAGGTTCTGCATCTGGGAGACCAAGGGTAGCCATTGCCCACAAGGCAGATTCTCCCTGGGGGTTGGTGTGGGGAAGAGAACACTGACATTTCAATGCAGATATTTTTTGGAGGTATGGGGAAAGGTCCCACTGTCTCAGTAGAATCATCAAAGTGCCTGATTGCTTGGTTCTAGGTGGGTGACATCAGGGAAATGCCTCTTCCCAAAAGGTTCTGGGGGACCTCAGAGGACCCCCAGTCTGGGTCCCTCCCAGAATAAAAAGAGAAAAAACGGACAAGTTCACACGATTCCCTTTACCAATGGAGACCCAAGAAGGCTTTACTATAAATGGTATAGATGGCCACAACTTCAGCACTTACTGGTTATTACCTCCCACCCCACCCCAACCGGTCTGCTAAGAAATGCCTGGGCTGAGGCATCCCTGGAGATACCCCTGAGGTGTATAACGAAGTAACTGTCAGTCTCTGACATTTCACTATAGATGGAGTAGCTCTCCAGCTCATTTGCCATGGCAGCTGGTAGAGAGAGCAAGTTGTTTCTTAGGGTGGGTTGGTTAGTTAGTTGGTTGGTTTAGGGAGCTGCGGAAATCAAGGACCAGGAGGGCTTTGGAACATACACCGCTGGGTAAAGGTGCCTGGTCTGGGGGAAGATCCATGTCCACTAGGCCTCAGGATGACACCTCTGGGACCCTGGGCTCAGAAGGGTGAAAGTGGCATAGGAGAGGGGCTCCCAACTGAGGGTCAGGTTCAGCTCTGAGCCCAACTGGCAGGGTGATCCGGAGCTTTTGCAACTCCACACTCCTTTCTCCCAGACCTCGGTCTCCTCACTCTTGCACTCAGAAAACCCTGACCTACTGCCCTGGTACATATTGTACTGACCTAGCACAGTAGGTGTCCAGCACTGTTCTATTGCTGGCTAGCCAGCAGTGAACAGATGGGGTGAGCACACTGTTGAGTCCTGGGGCACCCCGCCCCACATCAGCTCAGGCATTCTTTCCTGCAATGACTGCAGTCCTACCCAGGCCCAGCCCTGGTGTCTGCTCGGCTGCTTGCACAGGACGGACACCACTGAGCATGAACTATCCCCCACCCCCAACTCTGCACCCTGAGATAGTGTGAGGATGTTAGCAAAAACCCGAATCATGGTGATAAGCCAAAAACCAAAGCCGCTACAAGGCCATCAGGGCAGACCTGGACAGTCACCTGCCACTGTAGTACTGTGGTATATTCCTGGCAGCAAGTAGTGTCATCAAAGGGAGATTTTTTTTTTTTTTTCTGTATCCCTTTGTCACCAGCAGATGGGAATCATTGGTCAGAAAGGCAGAGTGCTGACAGAGCTTTCCTTCAGATTGAGGAAAACAACAAAGAATGGATGGACTGGGGTGGAAAACAGGAAAATACAGGTGTGTTTTAGTTTCCGTGGATGTGCAGATGAGCAAGCAATGAAGCAAAGTGGGGGTGCCAAGAAATGACACCATTCTTGATAAAGCAATTCCACCACTCAAAAACATTCCATGGCTCCCTGCTGCCCTCAGGAACACATCCACACTGCTTGCCTTGGAACTGAGGGCTTCCACCATCTAGCCACGGCCCACCCCACCAGTTTCATGCGCCCTCCACCAATTCCTGTGTGCACCCCATGCACTTCTTGCCACTGTGCTCCGCCATCATTCCCTTTGCCTGGAATGTTCTTCCCCTATCTCTGTCGGCCAAAATCCTATGTTTCTAGTGCACTGGATAAGAAGCCTTAGAACTACCGACTTTGGGGGCCAGATACTTCTTTGTTGGGTGGGGGGCTGTCCTGAGCAATGTGAAGTGTTCAGCAATATCCCTAGGCTCTGAATGCCAAGAACTCCAGATGTCAGTAACATTCCCTCCATCCCAGGTGTGACAGCCAGAAATGTCTCTAGGGGGGCACCTGGGTGGCTCAGTTGGTTGAGCATCTGACTTTGGCTCAGCTCATGATCTCTTGGTTTATGGGTTCAAGCCCCGCATCTGGCTCTCTGCTGTCCGTGCAGAGCCTGCTTTGGATCCTCTGTCCCCCTCACTCTGCTCCTCCCCTGCTTGAGCTCTCTCGAAAATAACCATGAAAAAAAAAAGTATTTCGGGGCGCCTGCCTGGGTTGCTCAGTTGGTTGAGCATCTGACTCTTAGTTTCAGCTCAGATCACGATCTCACAGTTCATGAATTTGGGCCCCATGTGAGGCTCTGCGCTAACAGCACAGAGCCTGTTTGGGATTCTCTCTTTCTGTGTCCCTCCCCTGCTCATGCTCTCTCATTCTCTCTCTCAAAAGAATAAATAAACTTAAAAAAAAAAATGTTTCTAGATACTTCCAAATGTCTCCTGGGGGCAAAATAGCCTCTGTTTGAGAACCATTGTTCTACACCCAGACCCGGTGATACTCTTTTCAAGAAACCCTTCTCTGAGCTTCTTAGAAGGAGAGTTATATCATCAGGGCACCTGGGCGGTTCAGTTGGTTAAGCATCTGACTCTTGATTTCAGCTTAGTCATGGTCTCACAGTGAGATCGAGCCTTGCATTGGGCTCTGTGCTGAGAGCTCAGAGCCTGCTGGGGATTCTCTCTCTCTCTCTGTCCCTCCCCCACTGTGTGCACTCTCTCTCTTTCTCTCTCTCAAAATATATAAACTTTTTTTTAAAAAAAGAAGGAAGGTTATATCATACATATGTGCCTTCCACACACTTTGTAATATTCTACTAGCACTTAACGTGGTCTCCTTTCACTTTGATTTATGTGTGGTTATATCACCCCCTCCCAAGTTTCTTGAGGGCAAAGACCACATTTTGTTCATCTTACACAAGCCCGAACACCATCCAGAGTAGATAATACCTACTGGTCTAGTGAAATTCAATTGTTGGGTTTCACGTGCTTACTGTTAACATAAACACAACTCGTTCATGCAACTTGTCTATGTCTACTGCAGAAAAAGATTAATTACAGAAAAGAATAAAACAACAATCAAAACCACCCACAAACCTACCACTAGCAATAACAGTAGCCAAAATACTGCTATACTAGCTATACCCCCCCCAGTGCTGGCATATGGATAAAATACTTGTATATGTCCCTCCAAACTTTTCCATGCACAGAGTCCAGGGGAAGTACCTGCAGCAGAGGTGGCAGCTCACATCCAGACTGTCATGGCCCCGGGGGACCTTGAGAGCCATCTGGCCCAACCCTAGTACATGCCTGGATCCCCTTCAGGACGCTACTCCTGACTCTGAACCACTGCACATGCAGGAACTTGCTATCACCCAAACAAAGCGGCTTGGCCCCCCTTGGACCGTTCTAGAGCTCTTGCATCTACTGACCTGAAATCTGTTATTCTGGGAGCTTCCGTTCCTTGGTCCAATTCAAATTCTACCTCGTTAGCCAAACTGGTCCACTCAGTCTATTTCCCACTGACAGGGTGTCAATCCAGCCCTCCTTCTTCCCCTCTGAACACTCCCCCCACCCAACCAGTGGGGTGGGTTCCAGCAGCCACGTTTACACTACAGGGCCTCCCCCTGATCCTGAGCAGTAAGGTCTCATCTCTCAGGGGTTGGTATCAGAGTTGAGAAACTGGAGTTCATAGTTGCTGGATGTTTGGAGGCAGAACTGCCATGGTAGGTGTCCATGAAAAATAGAAGTCTGGAGAGGGAGACGAAGTCAGAGAAAGCAACAGATACACACACACACACACACACACACAGACACACACACACACACAGGCACACGTGCACAGAAAAATAAAGCAGATGTGGCTAGAGAGGCAGAGTGGTGAGGCCAGGGGGTGGGAGAAGTTTCCCAATAGCTTCCAAGCCTGGGGTCTAGTACACCACAGAGTCCAGCTGCAACTCTCTGATTCTTCATAATGAGTCCCTTAGTCCAGCTGGTTTTATCTACCCTGATTCATGCAACAAAAACAGAAAGAAAAAGAGGTCTTGACTAAGACACAGCCCCTTGGACCTCTGACAACTGACACCTGAAAGCTCAGGCCCCCCTCAGTCATCTCCTTTCCAATCTGAACGCACAACCGCCTCTCTGACAGTAGATTATGCATCTAATCTACTTCAACCTCGGTACCGCCAATGAACCCGACTTATACACCAGTACCAAAAGGTGAGGATCTCATTCCTGAGTTGAGGGGGCTGGAAATCCAGGCCAACAGTACCCAGGATTGAATAAAGTGGCCACCAAAAGTGTATGTTTGTGCAAAAACTCTCATCAGCCCCAGTAAACACAAACACCCATGGGGCGGGTCTAAAGCCAGAGAAGCACCTCTCAGAGCTCAGCCCGGCCCCAGCAGAGGCCACACAGACTTTCCCAGGGGTGCACAGCCCTATCCTCCTGAGCTGCAAATAACAGTAGCTGGCTTACACTGTCCTCTCCTCCAGCTCCTGCCACAGCCAGGCGTAAAAGAACCCCCCCCCCCCCGAAATACTGAGAAGGACAGGGGTTCTGCAACAGACAGATATAGATTCTCGTCTCATTTCTACCACTTACTGACTTTATGGCTTTGATCAAGTTACTTCTCTAAGTTTTCAGTTTCCTCGTCTACAAAAATAAGAAACAACAACCATTCCCATTTTAAGGATTAAATGAACAAGAGAGTTTTAAAGGGACCAGAGTATTAACGCAAGAGAGTTTTACACTCACCAGGTACTAGTTTATTGTCATCCTGTTCATATTAAATATCTTCATTCATATTTTTCAATTTACTAAGTGACAATATAACATCACTTAGTTTTACAACATATAATTACAAGACATAACTTAAGAGAGATGGTCCTCATTATATACAATCAGCTGGAAAATAAAAACTTGATTAGGGTTCGTTTGACTTTATTTTCTAGGTGTCCCTTAAATGGCACCAATGCCAGAATTATGTCAACAAAAATAAGCAATACCAACAGAGCACACGTAACACTTTCACAGATGTACAAGAGGCAGCAAGTTCACTTTCCAGGCAGGTCCAATTCCTATCAGGCAAATAACCTCTTAAAACCAGTATTTGCTCCTGAGCTTAGCTGGCCAGGGGGCCCCTGCAGATGAATGCACTATAGTGACCTCCCTCCCTGCACTATGACAGCAATAAATGCTTCATCCACGCTCCATTTTCCTGTAATTCCTGATAGGCTTTTTAAAGCCAGACATGCTCCCCAAACCTTGAGTTCTTCATTAATGGATGTGTGGCTAATGGAGTGCTGCCTGGAACCTCATGCCCAAAGGTCAGCAAGCAGCTTCTTCCCCCCTGCTGCTTCAGAGACCTGTGCAGTCCCTCCAGGGGGCTCCTGAGTCCCAGCATCCTGCCTGGAAAGGAGCCGCTGTGCTGACAGCATTGGCCCTTGTCATTAACGGCCAAGCTCCCAGCCAAGGGCTGCAGAGCAACAGGCCTTTCTCCACCCGCGTGGCTCCTGACACAGGAAAAGCTGCCACATCCTCCAAATTGGAGCCATAGCCAATTACGAGGCCATTGGTGCTTCGTTTTTTGCCTCCATCTTCTTTAAGCATTTAAAGCCTAGCCATCAAAAAACTGTGGATGGGAGCAGAGATTGCTACAATCTTTCTGGGAGGCAAGTTGCCATTATTTCTCAAATTGTAACAGCTGTTGCTACCCTCTGACCTAGTAATCGTACTCCTGGGAATCCATCCAAAAGAAATCATCAGAGGCAAACAAAGATTAAGGCACAAATACCTTATTACATGGCTTTTTTATTATGTCAAAGAAAATGAAAATAACATAAACATCTAACAATTAAAAAAAAGGAATTGATTATAATATTTTAAAAGATTGCTAAAATCCTGTTTAGAAATCTTCTGGACACAAAGACAATATTAATTTATTAATGATTAATAAGCAAGCGACACAGTAACCTCATATAAAATTCTTGTGTTCAAAAAATCTTAAGGATCCCTCCAGAATGTATCTCTGGGTACAGAGAATTATGAGCAGTTTTTATTTTCTTCTTTACACTTTCCTTTTCTCCCTGATCCTGCTGCCCACAGTAGCGTTTGATCCCTTATTCATCAGTGTCATGAGATAAAGATGACAGTCCTAAGTTCAAGTCTAGCTGGATGACACTCAAGCAGACCATCATATCCATAATTATGCTCTGTGAGCCAAGGCTAAGCTTCTAAATCAGCAACATCCCCAGGCAGGGGATGTTCCAGCAGATCCCGAAAAGTAAGCTGGCGGGGGGGGGGGGGGGGGGCGGGGAAGCAGACCCCAGGTAGACTGGGAAGGCAGGTGGGGGTGGGGAAGCATTCCAGAAATGGGAGAACAGCATGAGCAAACCCAAAAACAGGAGACAGCATCGTGGATTGGGGGCTATAAATGTCTCAGTGCGGCTGAGGGGAGCCATCTCTTCCCAGAGCACATTCTGCCGGCATCCATCTAAAGGCTATGGGTTGGGGGGGAGGGAAAACTAAAGAGGGCAGAGGCAAGCCCAAGTGACTGATGTGAAGTAGGAAGAACTCCACCTCCTAGCACAGTGCTTGGCACGCAGTGCACATGCACTAAATATGAATGAGTGAATGAATGGTTGAATGGCTCAGGAGCAGAGAGGTTAGAGAAGCAGTTTATAAGACTGAAGGAAACCAGTGAGTTGAAGTTCTCCTTCTAAGGAAGGTGGGTAAAGATCCATTCACACATACGCCCTGTGGTGTAAATATACCAATAGATTCCAATATAACAAAGAAATGATCCCTGTAAAACCATTAGCAATCAAGCCCTAGATTTTACAGCAAAGAAAGATGAATGCATCCAAACTCACCACAGGTAGCACTAACTGGATGAAAGATACGTCTACTCTGCCAAGAGGAAGGCACACGGAAGCCGCTGTGATGCCCTTCTCTCCCCTCTGAGCCAAGAACCCGTCCTTCAGGCTTGGACTCCCAAACTCTGTTGTTTCATTTGTCATCACAGACCTCAGGGTCGGGGAGCAACTGAAGGCTATATACCAACCCCCACAGCAGTTCCATTCCTAAGCATGTAGCCAAGAGAAGCAAAAACACAAGCGTACACAGACTTTACTTGAACATTCATAGCAGCTTTATTCTTAACAGCCAGAGGGTACGAGCAGGAGAGTGCCTGAGGAGAACCGGGCCCCCGGCAGATGAGTCTCGCTGTGATGTGCAAGGTGGGTCACTTTTGGTCAGAGCAAAGGGAGGGAGAGATGGTTGGAAGGTTCTCGAAGTCCCCCAGACATGATGAGAAGAGTCAGGGTGGTCAGAGGAATAAGAAAGGACTGAGCAGGACAGTCCCCACAGAGAAGGCCACAACTTGGAGCCTGCTCAGTGTAGGTGCCGAGAGAGAAATCTGGACGAGTGGCAGATGGTGGCGTGGCGGATGGAAACAGGGCAGTGGTTGTCAAAGCACGGTGCCTGGGCCAGCAGCAACAACAGCACCATCTGAGGAATTGCTAGAAATGCAGACTCCCAGGCCCTACCTCAGACCTACTGAGTCAGACACTGACTATCTACCCACTCCCAGAAGAAAAAAAGCAATGCATCGATGTCCTCTGTACCAATAAGCTCCTTCCCAACAAAGGTTTCTGATAATTAGTGCAAACAAATCCATAGTGGGCCTTCCCATCCCCACCTCCAGAAGCAGCCACATCATTGCTGGAGTACTCTGTTAAGAAGTTCATTATGAAAGAAAAACAAAAACCGTTTCTCCCCCACAGGTCACATTAGCAAAGGGGAAAACAGTGCGCTGTGGAATAGATACTGTTTGGCACAGCCGTGCCGCTCGGTTCCCCTCTTATAAGGACCTCCACCCCCACCCCCAGGGCATGTACCAAGGACCCTGCCTCCAGCCAGAGCTGATTCAACCAACACTGGGCCTAAACTGTGCCTCTCAGATTTTCTCCCCCGAGGATTTAAAACTGGGGCTGAGAGGTCTGCAGGCTACGTAAAAGGAAGACTGCAAACTAGCAGTTTACGGTGGCCACACCTAAGCATTTTGCTCACCAAAGCAAAAATGGATGTCTGCAGAGACAGAAAGAAGAACAGAGAAGCAGAGACAACATTTCATGCTAAGAGAGACAGACAGACATGCCCTATGAGGGCATGAGCTGAGTCTTTGTTTTTTTGTTTTTTTTTTTCTTTTTAGCTCGTCACTGTTACCTAAAACTGTCACACAGGGGTTGAACAGATAGATCCTGGTTCCATGAATTAAAAGAGG